AAAAGGCCTTACCTTCCGCCCATTTGCCGGCTGCTACCACACCAACTTCAGCATTTCTCAGGACAGATCGTGGGTGCCTCAAGACGCATGCAGTCATCTCAACTCCCTCCAACGCAAGTTTCACAGGCATCGAATAGATCCAACGGGTCTAAGTTACGGCCGTTGCAGACGCCGGGGCCATCGATACATGCTGTGTCTTCGCTGCCACAATCCCCGCAGACCTCACAGAATCCAAGGACTTCACCAAACCAGTTTTCGCAGCCACTAGTACTCTCGGAGCCTGCTCCTCATGACAATCGAAGACTTCCACCGCGCTCCCAAGGGCGCCCGCAGTTGTCCCAGGCACGAAAGCTCGCCAAGCCGGTCCATCGAGCTCCAGCACAAGCTCTAGAGCCGAAATGGAATGCAAATACAACTACTTCCTATCACACACCACTGCTAGGGTCATTGCAGCCTTCAGGAACGCCTCAAATCTCTCAAAGACATACATCAGATAGTGTTAACATCTCTGATCCGCAGAAGCTGCAACATGTTATGCGGCCGCGGTTACCAAACGAGGCCGAGCCAAAACGCCCTCGCAAACACTCGCGCTCCCAGTCTATGCGAGACGTGCCCTTCGATTACCCACTGACTGAATCCAAACCACAGTTTCCACGCGAGCGAGGTCTGGATGACTCACAACAGCATTTGCGACCCCATTCTTCAGGAGAACCACGCCAAGGCCAACTGCCGAAGACTGTTTTGCCCCACGTTGCGCAGCAGAAACAAACATCGGATGAGCCCGATCCTTCTCTGCGGAATTCTCGGAATAATCAGAATTCAACTGAACTAGCAATGCTCAGTGGAAAGCAGCCGACTAAAGGTGACACTTCAAAGATCCGAGAGAAAAATGAAGTAGAAGAAACTTCGCTGGTTCCTGAAACTGATTCTTCGCATGAGCTGAAGCTTACAGAATCATCAGATGGTATTCGGTCAGAGTCGATGGAGGAGCCCATTTCGCTTGCGCCGCCATTGCCATCTCCTCCGACTTCTCCGGCAATGTTGCGTTCCCCAGATTCGTCCCTGTCTTCTCGTCCTCACACGCCGCCACAAGCAGGAGCCGAAAGCTTGTCACCGTCATCGCCCGAAGCGCAACGAATCCCAGATATGTCGCAGACCTCTCCTCACACGCCATCACAAACGAGAAGTGAAAGCTCGTCACCACTATCTGGGCCTCCCTCCGTTCAGCATTTTAAGTCGGAAGGTTTAAATGACACCTCTCGGCGCCAGAATGATCCAGAACGACAATCCCCCGTTTCGCCGCAATGTTCTCTGAATGGAGAGGGACCGGTGCTGGAGTTGCCCCAGAATAATATGAAGACCCTCTGCATTCCTTCTCCGCCTTCCCAACACACGCAAAACCTGACGCCTTCGCCATCTTCACAAGTGGAAAAAACCTTGGTTGTGCCACAGAATGAAGAGGGATCGTTGTTAATGGATTCAGCAAGTACGCAGACGTCTTCGCAACCCGATCAGTCGTCTATGTCTCAAGCTTCGTTCTTGGCATTATCAGCAACGAATCGAGACGCAAAGAGTGACGAAGTGAGAGATGTCTCGTGTGTCTCTTCAAGTACAACGTCAACTGCGAGTCAGGACAGCAGTCCAGTAGCGCTTTTCGAAGTTCGAAAGGTTTCCATCCCGCCTTCGAGAAATAGTCGCTATTCTAATTCCAGTGCCCCCAAAACGGCAGACGAGCTCATTCGAAAATCATCCAAAAGGAAAAAGCCATGGGAGAAAGAGTTTGATGGCATCCCGAAACGGTACAATAATAAGTGGTCTAAAGCTGTCGCTCTAGCCACTTCTCAGACTCTTGCTCAGCCGAATGACAAACATGTGCGTACAGTGCTCGATGGTATACGAAATGGCAGGCCTTCGGCAGACGCAAACACGCCAGCTGGAGCTATTATTCTCACGCTGAGGGACCGTTTCGAGACGCCTGCCTGGTCTGTTAGACTAAAGGCAGCCCTATTTTGTCATACTATTTTTAGAGCCGCAAATAACAAGTTTGTTGAATACATCGCCCGCGCACAGGCCGACTTGCTCGATCCGAAGAAAGTCATTTCCGATGGTGCTTTCAGCGCATGTGAGCAAGGCTTGCTTCATAAGGCATTTGCGGAGGAGTACACAAGGTATCTGAAAACATGGCTCTCGATGAAACAAGTCGCGAAGTTTCCAGTGGGACGGACGACTGCATCATCCTCAAGAAGATTTAAAACTGCAGACCCAAAAGATTTGCTGACATCCCTTCCAAAACTGCTCGATACTCTTGGTTGCGTGGCTCCGCTTGAACTCTACCCAGAGATTGAGGAGTCCCCACTTGCTGATGCAGCCATTTCCCTCGTGTTGAAAGATTCCAAGATAATTGTCAATGCTCTAGATGCAGGCGTAAATAGGCTCGCTGATCTATTCCCAAGTCTGCAGGCCCAGTCAGCACAGCAAGTGAAAGCCCTGAGAGTGTACGGAAGATATAACCAAGCTGTTCGGGACATCAGGCCAGTTTTACACCGAATGAGTGGGGAAGCAAGTGCTTGGATGGGTGGATTAGACCTCTCCCCAGGGATGGTGGATCGAATGAATACACACTTCCATAGCCGGCAGGAGAGAGGTTCACCGAGACAAAGGATTCATGCCTCCATGGGTGACGCGAAGCAGAAAGGAGCGAGAGTGGACACGATTGGAAGAAGAAAGGATATGTCTGTAAACTTGGGCAAGGCTCCACAGACTCGAAGCGTCAAGAAGGGCAAGGGAAGGGATGCAAACTCAGTGTCGGAAATGAACGCCAATTCGCTTGAAATTTTTGATGAAGAGACGCAAGAGACTGAAATTGTGACGCCGATAGATATCGACAGGGGCGATCTACCTGATTTTTTAGAGGCCGACGACCGCCATGAAGGGTTAATGGCAGGAGGACGTGCCACGCGGGGCGATGAGAACGACGATGACTTTCCCTTGCGGTCGCGCTACCCAAGCGACTGACCGCAACATCGACGTTCTCAGAATTTGGTGGGCAACGAACTTCCTTATGCTATCTGAATGTGTGATTCGAGTTGCAAGTGTGCAGGATGGAAGGAACCGTTTTCGATGGCACTCTTACATACGCTCGGTTTTACGTAGAGAGAGGTTGATGAGGCCAACGCGATTACTGCAGCGTCCCATATAGGTTGCGGTTTGTGCGAAATGGGGTACAACCGAGGAGTCTTCGTCGAACTAATTGCTTTGAGAATAGTTTACCCAGCG